GGGGGGGCGGCCGCCCCGGGCCCCCCCCGAGGTATGCATGTAGTAGGAGGGCGCCAGAAGTAGGAGGCCCGATCGGCAAAAAAAGAGAAAGAAACGAGGCCCAATCGGCAATAGCGATGTCCGATCCCAGCGGCCAGCGATCGCGAGATCGTTCCCAGGAAATAGCGAGAGATCCTCTGGAAAAAAAGAAAGATAGCGAATTAGAGAGCAATCAGCGCCTGGACGTGATTCCCTTCCTGTTACGTTCGACGCCTTTCTTCCATCACGAAGAGTTCCCAGGTCCCAGCCCTACGCCCCTACCTGCTGGCCGCCGACGCCGTGCACGCACAGACGCACTCCGACCTCGCCGTCCCCTGGTAATTTCCTTTCTAATTTGATTATGTTGGTCGTTGTTTTCAGTTCTGGGGCCTCCATCTTCACCCCAGGGCCTGCTTCACCCTCCTTTGGTCTTTTCTCAATTGCTCTCCTCTCGGCAATCTGCAGACTCTAGACAGGTACAGACTACTGAAGTTTGATCGTCAGGATTCTGGACATTAGGTATTGAGGTATATTATTCATACAAAAAATTCTTTGGACTTTGGTTTACAGCTAGCACCGTTCCACAATTGATTAAGTATTATTTTTTCAGCATTGTGTTTGTTCTCATGGCGCCCAGCAAGAGGAACTATCCATCGGGTAGCCACAAAAGGAAAAAAAGGAGAAAGAGAATAAACTTATAAAGTCACAGCGCGGAGGTATTCGCAATTTTTTCATGCCAAGTGATATTGGTGCCTGTATTACTCCGCCGGACCCAGCTGATGCGTTGGCGATTGTTGCCATTGTGGAAGAGCAACAAACAAATGAAAACTCGGACTCTAATCAGCAAGAAGAAAATATCAACTCCAACATCGGCGATGACAATGTAAGTGGCTCCGAGAATGTAAGTAATTCGTCGGATGCACATGCCCAATCTGCTAGTGTTGATGAACAACCAGTTTATACTGCCGATATTTATGATCCAAAAAACTGGGATAATCTTGATAATAAAGCAAGAGATATCTTAGTTGAGAAAGGGCCTATCAGAGAGGAAAAAATGGAATACCATGTAGATGAAACAGGAAGACATTTTTCGTATGCTCATTATCATAGAAAATTAAGCAATGGAGAGGAACATGATAGGAAATGGCTAGTTTATTAGAAAAATGTCAATAAAGTTTTTTGTTTCTGTTGTAAGATCTTCAAGTCTAGCACCAACAGGAGTCATAGTTCCTTAGCACATGATGGACTAGGACATTGGAGGCATATTAGTGAGAAGCTCAAAGAACATGAAAATAGCATTGAGCATATTAATAACATGAACAAGTGGAATGAATTGAGAGTTAGACTGAGAAAACAGGAAACTATTGATAAGGATTTGCAACATCAAATAGCAAAGGAGAAAGAACGTGTCAGGCAAGTTCTGTTAAGAATAATAGTAGTTGTGAAATATCTTGGTAAACGCAACTTGGCTTTTCGTGGAAGTAGTGAGCAGCTTTACAAGGATGATAATGGTAATTTCTTAGCTTGCATTGAGATGATTGCAGAATTTGATTTGGTAATGCAAGATCACCTTAGACGTGTTGAGAACAAGGAAACCCATTATCACTATCTCAGTCATAAAATACAAAATGAGCTGATATCTCTTTTGGCTTCTGACATCACATGTTCTATCATAAAGGTTGTTAAAGAGGCCAAGTATTTCTTTGTTATCCTAGATTGTACCCCTGATGTTAGTCATCAAGAACAAATGACCTTTTTAGTTCGATGTGTTAATCTGTCTGATGGCAAAATAAAAATTGAGGAGTACTTTCTGGGGTTCTTGAAAGTGGATGACACTTCTGGCTTAGGGATTTTCAAAGTACTGCTTGATTCTATTGAGTCTTTTGGCCTAAATATTCAAGATATAAGGGGTCAAGGATATGATAACGGTTCTAATATGAAAGGAAAATACCGAGGGGTACAATCTAGGTTACTTGATATGAATCCAAGAGCATTATATATGCCATGTGCTTGTCATAGCCTAAATCTCACTCTTTGTGATATGGAAAAATCATGTGAGAAAGCTGTTTCATTTTTTGGAATTGTTCAACGCATATATGTATTATTTGCTGGCTCTACAAAAAGGTGGAATGTTTTGCTTAAACATGTTCCTAGTTTGACCGTGAAATCATTTTCCAATACTCGTTGGGAGAGTAGAATCAAAAGTGTTACAGCAATAAGATATCAAGCCGCTGAGTTAAGGTCAGCTTTGTCTGAGTTACGTCATGCTTCTGACACTGATCCTAAAGATAAAAGTGATGCCAAAAATTTATTTGATACACTTGGTCGCTTTGAGTTTATAGTTGGTATGATTATCTGGCATGATGTTCTATTTGCTGTAAATAAAGTTAGCAAGATGTTGCAATCGTCAACCATGTGCATTGACTCCGCTTTGAAGCAAATAAAAGGTATAACAAAATATTTTGAGAAGTACAGAGATGAGGGGTTTTCTTCAAGTCTGACCATCGCTAAAGGTATTGCAACTGAAATGGGAATAGAGCCATTGTTTCCAGTGAAACGTCATGCTAAGAGGAAGAAACAGTATGATGAAAGTGATTGTCAAGAAGAAATCTTGGAAGCTGAGAAGGCTTTCCAAGTTAAATATTTTAATGTTTTGGTTGATATGGCGATCACTTCTTTGAATGATAGATTTAAAGAACTCATGGTCTTTAAAGATATATTCGGATTTTTATTGAGCTCGGGCACTCTCACGTCATTAAGTGACAATGAACTTGAAGAATGTTGCACAAAATTTGCAGAAACTTTCTCTCTTAATGGTTCATATGATGTTGAGGTATACGATCTTATTTCTGAATTGAAGATTATGAGATTCACTTTGCCAGATGGCGCAATGTCTGCTATGGAGATTTTCAGGCAAGTCAGAGAAGTTGATTGTTACCCCAATATATCCATTGCCTATCGCATCTTATTTACTGTGCCTGTGACGGTCGCATCGGCCGAGAGAAGCTTTTCAAAGTTGAAATTCTTGAAGAATTATTTGAGGTCAGCCATGACTCAAGAGAGGTTAAATGGTTTGGCCACATTATGCATTGAGAAGAAATTATTGGATGAGATTGACATCGACCCCATCATAAGTGACTTTGCATCGAGGAATGTTAGAAGAAAATTTTAAGGCATTATGTATATTTTTTTGGATACACATACAGATTTTGGATTTAATTGTTACTACTACTACTACTACTACTACTACTACTACTACTACTACTAATAATAATAATAATAATAATAATAATAATAATAATAATAATAATAATAATAATGGCTTGTATATTAGGGGCCCCCAATTTTTAGTTCGCCCCGGGCCCCCGAAATCTCAGGACCGGCCCTGCATGAGAGCCATGCAGGAAGGGGAAAAGATCTTGTTTCATTCCTGGCCGGTTGCTTTCAGTTTCAGGTTAGTCGTCAGGCTAATAATTTGACTGTTTCTTCTGAAGGACTTGCTGTCGATGTTAGGGCATCTATGTAGTGTATAGTCGACCAATCATCTCCATCACATGTGATTCATAAGTGTAGATGTATGTTTTTTCTCAACCCATGGAATACACTACATGACCTACAGTAAGTGGTTGGGATCTAGATATGTTTTTGCTCATGTAATTTATCTCTAATCCCCTGTCCAGCGTTACATATTTGCAGGTAGTAATCTTTTGTTCTTCCATCAATTTTATTAATTGAACACAAAATTGGACCTTATTGTCATCAAGGACAATACGTAATGGGATGATGAGATAACTGAAATTTCATAACAGCGACTCCATGCATGGTATGTTCCCCTTTTGCCATATTTTGCATACGCATCTTATATATTCTTTGAGATCTAAGCCCTTGGAGACAATAGATTCTGATCTTCTGGTCTTTGCCTGCTGATGCTTTTATTATTCAAAGTGGTTCAGTTCCAGTACGTATAGACTAGCCATATTATGACTTGCAGG